GCGCCACATGTAGCATGTTGTCATGTGCATGTTGTGAGTGTGGGTGTGGTTCTGTGGATGGTGGAGGCCGCGTTTTTCTTTTTTGCGATATTGCATATTCGCGGGAGAAGGTGAAGGTGATGGTGTTTTTTGGTGCAAGACATGGGTGATTCACATGGGAAAAAGAAGTGCTGAAACGGCCTGAAGAGGCGACGGCGCGAGACACACAACACATTCCACACGGTACGTGCGAGTACGACACACATACACGCCGTGAGACGTACAACAGTCGCGCGCGAAAACCAAACCCGTATACTCCAGTACATTGGCTGCTGCTACGTAGCTCAGAGACCCCACGCGCCTGCGTGTCTCCACAGCTCCGTGGCGGGCGCCTCCCCCACGGGTGGCGCCCACACGCAGTCCTCCGGCGGCGGGAAGCCGCGCAGGGCTCTGCTCAGCATGAGCATCGCCGCCTGCCAGTCGATGTCGCCCTCGCCGATCGGGTTGGGCGGCGGGTTGTCGGGCGGGAAAAAGAGCCACGCGGGCAGCTCGGGCGCGCAGAGGCACGGGAAGAGGAAGCAGCCGCGCAGAAAGACGAAGCCGGCGATAAAGGCAGCGGTCGTCAGGACTTGCGTGCAGTGGATGGCCGGCCCGGTGTGCGGTGGGCAAGCTTGGACGCCGGCAAAGCAGTACTCGTAGCCCTGCGAGCAAAGGCATTGTGGGGTTGTGGCAAACGTCCCTCCACCCCACTCGCGCGCGGCGCGGACCGGGCTCTCCCCGCGCCTCTCCAGGCCGGGCGCACGCGGGCGAGCGGTGCGAGCGACAGTGCGGTGCGAGCGACAGAGCGGTGCGAGCGACAGAGCGGCCTGCGCGGGGCGGCCGCTACGAGGCGGGCTGCTAGGAGGGCGGCGCCGCCTGCAGAAAGGCGCAATAGAGGAGGGCGAGGACGGGCACGGTCCACAGCCAGAGGTAGGTCATCTTCCACTTCATCATCAGCCCGATGAGCAGCATGAAGAGCCAGAGGGCCCAGAGGTAGAGGTACTGCGCGCTGCGCCACTCGCTCTGCGCGCGGCGGCCCGCCCACACCTTGGTCGTGGCCCGCTGTGTGTCGGGGCTCAGGCAGAGCAGGAACTGCACGAATTTGAGGCCGAAGCCACCTGCGCAGAGGCCGCACGTCATGAGCAGCATCGCCGGCCGCCGGCGGATGCTTCCCTCGGCGGCACGACGGCCGCGGGAGGCGCGGCGGCTCGCTGTGAGCTGGCTACGCAGGCGGCTCAATCTCGGGTGCTACGCAGGCGGGCCGCGCGGCGCCAGCGCGCGCCGATGAATCTGAATACGATGACGAAGACGACGTAGAGCTTCGAGATGTTTTGCAGCGACCCCTCAAAGTAGAATTGCAGCACGAGCGGACACAGGAAGGGCAGGTAGGCGGGCAGGATGACGGTCCAAATCTCGACGAGGATGGTCCTGTCGTGGGTGTGAGGGGGTGGGGGTGAGCGGGGAGGGTGTCGGCAGCGATGGGGCGGTCGCGGGAGGCTGGTGGGCAGTAGCAGGCGGAAGGAGAGGGCGGGAGGTCTCTGGCGGTCGTCGAGGGTTGATGGGGTTGCGGGCGGGGGTGGTGTTTGTGTGTGCGTGTGCGCCCGTCTGTCTGCGCGCGCGTGCGTGCGATCGTGCGAGCGAGCGCGTGGGCGTGGGCGGTGGAGGAGGCGGACCAGTAGACCAGCGTGCAGTACGAGTCGGTGCTGGTCTCGGGCCTCGCGGCGAGCGAGCGGAGGAGGATGCGCAGCTGGTAGAGCGTGTTGAAGTACGAGGTGAGGTAGTTTTGCGGCTTCGTGTCCTCGTCGCCCTTGGTGCCCTTGCTGATGCCCCCAAAGAGGAAGCCGAGCACGAAGAACGGGAAGACGGTGTACCTGCGGACGCGTCGTCTCAGCGCGTCGGCGGGTGTGTGGCGTGAGGGCGGCGGCGGCGCGGGTGCAGAGAGGCTGAGGTCTCGACGGCCGGCGGATGAGCGGCCGGCGGGTGGTGGAGAGGTGGTGGGGACGAGCGGCGAGGGAGGGCGTGTCTCGGACGTGTCGCCAGTGCACCCGAGCATCATGGCCATCTTGAGCGAGAAGGGCTGCGTGCCCTCGACGTAGTCGCTCCAAAAGAAGGGGTGCGCGAGCGACGTCTTGCCCGGCACCTGCGTCGCGGGGAGGGCGCGCAAGGTCTGGGCTTTGCGCGAGGTCTGAGCGGTGTCCGCGAGTTGGCCGAGGCCGAGATGGCCGAGGCCGAGATGGCCGAGGTCGCGCCTTGAGGATGTACAGGTCCATGACGAGCCCCTCGAGGAGGACCCACAGAAACAGGACCGTCACCGTCATCCAGACCGTCGCCAGCGTCTGCGTGTTCATAAAGAGCCAGTGCCAGCAGAGCTGCGTGCACGGCCACGAGCACCGGCAGCCGAGCCACGGGACCAGCTCGTACCGCGACTCCCCAAGACCAGGAATCCAAATCGACGCCGGCGCGTTGAGCTGCTCGCGCGCGGCCTGCAGCAGCACAATCACCGCGGTGCCCTTGAGGTGGCCGCCGGTCAGGGGCTTCGCCAGCTGGAGGATGGAGCCGCCCACGCCGGCGACCGTGCTCCTCTCCGCGCTCGCCCCCTCGCCGACGCGGATCGTGTCGCCGACCGCAAACCCGTCCCGGCAGGCCACTTGCAGGACCGCGTCGCCCGGGTTTGCAGCCGCGGCCAGCGTGGTCGACGCGGCGTCCTCCCAGAGCGCGTAGAAAGGGAGGGCCCGACTCGGCTCGCTGAGTCCGAAGCCGGTGATATAGCTCAGGTTGAAGTCGACCACCTGAGGGGAGGGGAGCCGAGAGGTGAGCCGAGGTGAGCCGAGGTGAGCCGAGAGGTGAGCCGAGGTGAGCCGAGGTGAGCCGAGGTGAGCCTAGATGGGTTGACGTCGACGAGGAGAGAGGGGAGCTTCTCCACTGGTGTGAGTCCAGGGCCGAGAGCGTAGGCCACCTCTCTCATCTCCTCCTCGAGGGACATTCACTGGCAAGGCCAGCCGTGCGTGCGTGCGTGGGTGCGTGCGTGGGTGCGTGCGTGCGTGCGTGCGTGCGTGCGTGTGTGGGTGCGGCAACAACCTTGCGCGAGAGGGAGAGGTAGAGCCCGTACGCAGGGAAGGAGTAGATGTTCCAGGCGACGTAGTAGTTGGCCTCGTTCTCTGCGACGTACTGCTGGGCCCGCGGGCTCAGCAGAAAGTTGGGCAGGATCTCCGACGCTGTCGGAGGCGAGTAGCCCGCCTAGAGACCTCGAGAGGCCTTGCCTCGGGCTCTCGTCTCGGGCCGCTCTCGGCTCCTCCCGGGACCTCTCCGACGCGGCCGGCGGGGGAGGCGACTCGCACCTGCGGGTCCGTCAGCCAGTCTGGGCAGCTTCCGCCGCCCTCCAGGCAGCTTCCGCCGCCCGCATTCCCAGCAGCCTCGGCCCAGCACGGGAACGGATTCACGCCGCCGCCGTCGCGGCCCGCGTGACCATTGGCCGCAGCGCCGTCGCCGCGCACCGCCCCCGCCGCGGCCCTCGCCGTGCGGCTGTCCCACCGCGCGGCCTCCAAGGCCGCGGCGTAGGACGGGTGCTCCGGCGCCAGCAGCGGCTCGTGCTCGGGAGGCGCCGCCGGCTCTGGCTGCGCGAGCCGGCGCAGCTGCAGCGCGAAGCTGCTCATGGTGCGGTGGAGCGCCATGTACTCCCGGCGCACCGCCTCCGCCTCGGCGCGCGCCGCGCGGTTGCCCGACCGCACCGCCTCCATGGCTGCGGCGTAGCCGCGGTCGGTGGACACGTCGTAGCAGAGCGCCGCCTCGGCAGGCTCAGAGTGGTAGCCGGCGGCATCCGACGAGGACGAGGCTGCGGAGGACGTGGTGGCACCAGAGTTGAAGAGGGGCGACCGGTACTCGCCCAGCCATCGGCGGTCGCGGCCGACCCGCGGCCGCGGCTCGCCGGCCATGGCGGGATCGCGGCCGCCGCCAGAGCCCGCGAGTTTGTTGACTCCTGGTGCTTGTCAGAGATGGAGGAGGACGTGGCAGCGCCAGCGGACGGTCGGGTGGCGGGTGGGGATAAAGGCGGGTCGAGCGCCGATCGCCCCGTGGCGTGGCACGAGAGCCGAACCCTACGCGGTCCACCTTGCCACCGAAGCAGAACACAAAACAAACCGAAGCACGGGCAGCGGAATCGGGAGAAATAAAGCTGACCTGGATGTGAGGTTACCGACTGCACTCCAAGTGCTCCAAGTGCTACGCTATCAGCGGAGCTCGGAAGGCGTTATTGAAGCTAGGACGCAAGCGTCCGTCGCCCTTTTCAAACTCGGGGCCCACTCCGCTACGCTCCGACCCGAATTTGGAGGGCCTAAAAGTTTAAGGTGTTGCTGCGCAAAAGGGGTCGGACACACACACACACAGGGCGCAGCTCATGCTAAGAGCCAGAAGGGGAGCTAGAGAGAACGACTACCCTGTCCCGTTATTGCGTACACCAACACCACAAAAGCTCTCTCTCTCCTGTCCTCAGACACTCCGGGGGTCCACAACTACCGCGTCCCTCGACTAGCTGCCACGTTGCCGACCGAGAGCGGATCTCCTCCTGCTCCGCAAGGAGGGTGGCCAAGGCTAAAGTCTTGCCGGAGCCGGCGGGCGTGTTGACGACTTGGAGAAGGTCGCCCTTGTACTTGTACTTGTAGAGATGCTCGAGGGGGTGCTTTGTGGGGCGGTGCGCAGCCACAGGCCAGCAGTGAGGGGAGGCGCACCCTCACTCTCCTCGGTTGCAGAGCTCGTCGGAGCGACGGAGGCACACCAGTACTGTCTATACGCCTGCGACACGCGTGTCGGCTCGCCGCCCTCGTCGCCCGCGACGGGCCCGCATGGCGCGCCGCTCGTCGTAAATGTTCCCAGAAGCCTATTTAGAGCAATCTTCCTCACTCAGACCCCCTGCCCCTTCCCCCAATACGCCACCGGCCCCTTTCCATAAACACTACCACGCCATGTACATCCTCCCCCACCCAACCCTCACACAAACAACCCAACACACACACACACACACACACACACACACACACACACACACACACACACACACACACACACACACACACACTCACACACACATACACACACACACAACATACCCCATACCCCAAAAATTCCCACCTCACCATCAGCATCACCATCCCACCTCACCATCACCATCCCACCTCACCCCACCTCACCATCACCATGCACAGACCCCAAGTGCGCTGCCTCGTCTCGCACGGCCGGCGCTCTCCTGGCCGGCGCGCGAGACGCCTGCGCCGGCCTCGACTACGACTGGACGCGCCCGATCGCGGCCTCCGCCGTAGCCGAGCGATCGGCCAGCGCCTCTGCCGCCCGCGCCATCGCCGTCGGCCGTACCGTCGAGCAAGGCATCGCCTCCGTCAAGTGCGCTGCCTCGTCTCGCACGGCCGGCGCTCTCCTGGCCGGCGCGCGAGACGCCTGCGCCGCCCTCGGCTACGACTGGACGCGCCCGATCGCGGCCTCCGCCGTAGCCGAGCGATCGGCCAGCGCCTCTGCCGCCCGCGCCATCGCCGTCGGCCGTACCGTCGAGCAAGGCATCGCCTCCGTCAAGTGCGCTGCCTCGTCTCGCACGGCCGGCGCTCTCCTGGCCGGCGCGCGAGACGCATGCGCCGCCCTCGACTACGACTGGACGCGCCCGATCGCGGCCTCCGCCGTAGCCGAGCGATCGGCCAGCGCCTCTGCCGCCAGCGCCATCGCCGTCGGCTGTACCGTCGAGGGCGTCGCCGTCGCGACCGTCAAGGACTCGAGTCTCCCCTTCGTCTTCGATTGTGATGGTCGAGGCCTCCATTTTCTTCTCGTTGCGTGCAGATCTGCGAGCGCCACATGGGGCTGCCAATTCCATGCCGAGGGCCACCCCAGCGCAGTCATGGGGCAAAGGGGTCCGCACCTTCGGCTCCGCGCCGCGCCTCGCCTCCGTCAAGGGCGACCTCGCCTCCCTCAAGGGCGACCACGGCCTGCGCCCTCGTGCCCGCGCCGCCTCCGGCCTGCGCCCCAGCGCCCGCGCCTTCTCTCTCTCCGGCCTGCGCCCTCGCGCCCGCGCCGGCTCTGGCCTGCGCCCCTGCGCCTGCGCCTTCTCTCTCTCCGTCCGACTCTGCGCCTCGTCGCCTCCATCACAAATAGAAAATAAAATATTCTTAGCTTCAAGCCCCCCTCCGAGACTAGGGACAGAACCCACCCGTACACAGGAGAGATGGGACTGCGCCTCGCCCCCACTTGCCCTGACTGCACAGGATAGCGTGCCCCGAAGACGGCGACACATAGTGGGGGACACTGCGCAAGGAGGGGGTGCGAAAGCTCATTGGGGTGCTAGGTGGGACCATGAGGGGGGGTGGGCGGGGTCCTGTGGGGGTGAAATGTTGCGCGGCGAATTCGAACCTACCCCCTCGCCGCGCCGATCCTCACGCGGAGGGTAAAACCCTGTGGGACAAAACCCCCCCGCGGTCGGCAGTCTTCAGAGTGGACCCCCCCCTCCCCAGCCTCCCCTGTGCATCTCGCACCCCCCCCCCGCTCCCCATTGGTGACTCGCGAAGGACACGGACACTCGGGGTGAGGGGGGGTCCCCCCGGAGGGGGCTCTGGGGCATTGTTGGGTTGATCGCTCGTGCCGATCTCGGGTCGATCTCGGGTCGATCTCGGGTCGATCTCGAGTCGATCTCGGGTCGATCTCGGGTCGATCTCGGGTCGATCTCGGGTCGATCTCGGCCACCGCGGTCGAGTAGCCTAGGTAAGGAGGATGAGGCGAGATGAGGCGAGATGAGACGAGATGAGGCGAGATGAGGCGAGATGAGGCGAGATGAGGCGAGATGAGACGAGATGAGGCGAGATGAGGCGAGATGAGGCGAGATGAGGCGAGCTGAGGCGAGGTGAGGCGAGATGAGGCGAGATGAGGCGAGATGAGGCGAGATGAGGCGAGGTGAGGCGAGATGAGGCGAGATGAGGCGAGATGAGGCGAGATGGGGCGAGATGAGGCGAGATTGGGCGAGATGGATGAGATATCGTGAGATGCAGCTCATGCCTGGGGGGAGTCAGCCAAATGCCTGGAGGGAGCATCTTGATGCCTGCAGGGAGCCAGCTTGATGCCTGGAGGGAGCCAGCTTGATGCCTGGAGGTGACTGGAGGGAGACCGCTCGATGCCTTGGGGAGTCAGCTCCGGTGTCCTTTGGTTCCTCTCGGCGACGCCCAATGCGTGCGCCGGCAGTGGGGAGTGTGCGTGCGCGCGCGTGTGTGAGATGTGGATTGTGGCAGGCCTGCTGTTGCTGCTGTGGGCAAGTGTGCTTTGTGTGCGGCGCTGCGCTCGCGTGCGGTGCGCGCGTGCTGTGCGCGTGTGCGTGTTGGAATCGCGCGTGAGTCTGCGTGTGCTGCGCGCGCGCCGGCGTGCACTGTGCGCTGTGCTCTGCTGTGCGCCCTGTTTGTGCAGCTTTGAGGCGCAGGCTTGGCTGGCAGGGCTGCGCGGTGGGCTGCGGCGCGCTGCGGGTGGTC